GCAATTATTAATACAGTATCGCATTAACATAGGATTTGCGGTTCAATATAAGACCATATCATCAGATCCAGAGAGAGAGAGAGAGAGAGAGAGAGAGAGAGTTGATTAAAACTGGTAAAAAATTTTAACAAATCAAACATTAAACAAAAAATTTAAACACAAATCAATACATATAGCTAAATATAACATATTAATAAATAAATATTAATATTACACAAATAAAATGTTAAATCAATAGAAAATTCAACAGCAATACAAGTCCGCCGAGAATTGGGCCCAAAACGGGTATAGCGGACAGTATGATAGCCACCAGATCTAAGAGTCCGCCCACCAAACCCCTCTTCATGCGGGTATTTTCAGCCGGAGTGTTGGCCGCCATTGTGTTTCGCACGTCACGGACCAGATCCCGGAGCTGACTCACCACTGCCTCCCGGCGCTCGTCACCGGCGAACTCGTTGGCCATCACCACCGATGACATGATAGCCACCAATAGAGCAAACAATGCAAACTTTGAGTTCATATTTAATTTCTATTATACTTAACGTGAGTTTTAAGCAATGATCTAAATTTATGTCTATAATACCAGATCTGATTAACATTAAATGGTTGCTATTTATTTAATTGTAATGTTTAATATAGGTTATAATTTAGCTAAACATCACGGTGTATGGTGTGATATTTATTTTTACATTACCTGGTACTGCATACAGTTGATTAATACATCATTATCATTAATAATGATAGATCTGCCCCTTTACAGGGTAATTATAATTTTCATTATAACATTGTATTTACATTTAACTTCAAACACTAAAACATTTTTACAACTAATTGCTAAACATACACCTAATTGTATACAATCGACTCCCGATATGATTCATTTTGTGGCAGGAATTTTACGTTACATAACTTATGCCCCCTATACTGACTCTCGAGACCCCTCCGATCTCTGGTTTATTTGTTTATGAGATTTGAAAATTAAATATAAAATAAACATTTGCACAACTTTAAAAACATGATAATTTTTATATCTTATAAAATGAATGTATTATTTAAATTGTTACAATTTCATGAAATATACACTAATACATAAAACGTACATCAATTAGATTTACAGAAAAAAATACAATACAATGTATAACATGTCATGATAATAACGTTAATGCAATTATTAATACAGTATCGCATTAACATAGGATTTGCGGTTCAATATAAGACCATATCATCAGATCCAGAGGTTTTGCGGAGATAATCATCACTCGTTTGTATGCAGACAATAGTCGGCTCGCTTTCATCGTCGGCGCTGTCATCAGTGATGGCAACGGATCCGCTGTCATCCGAGTTATCGATCACTCGCTGGATCTCTCGCAACGTTACGGACGCCATACTCTCTGCCATCAATTGAGACAACAATCGCTTTCATCGTCGGCGCTGTCATCAGTGATGGCAACGGATCCGCTGTCATCCGAGTTATCGATCACTCGCTGGATCTCTCGCAACGTTACGGACGCCATACTCTCTGCCATCAATTGAGACAACAAATTGTTTGACACTTTGTTTTGGTCCCGGATTTCAGTCAACATTTGAATGACATTATTGTCGTGGCTTTGCTCTGAAGAAGTAGTGGTCACCGGATTGTGGGAACGGTTTGCTGAGGTGGCGGTCGTAGTCATCGAAGTGCTGTATTAACGCAAAAATTTATAATTAAACAAAATATGCTTTAAAGCAATCAATGATTGCCAATCATAGTTAGAATGATAGTTAGTTGTGTTCACACAAACCTTGTCCCCAGTGTGGCCAACATTTGCCGCAATTCCCCGTTTTCCGCGACGTGTCTCTCATTTGTTGCCTTCAATGCGTTTAACTCTTCGCTCAATTGTCGCGACTTTTTGTCCATATTTTTAATTAATTTTCGATAACTTAATTGTATGTAAAATAAAAATTAATTTTCATTACAAAAAACAGCAATTTTATATAAAATTTCAAACAAACCACTCGTTTGAATGCTTCCAGAGTTTTAGTTCGTCTTTTAAGCTGAGATTTTCTTTCGATAATTGGCTCCAAGTTTTGGCCCCATTTTTGTTAATCACTGGAAACCTATGGCACAAAAAATAGAGGTAAATATAGGGATAGTCAGCAAATAATAATAATAATCAATGTAACAAGCAAAGACAAAACCAACTCGTTGATTTGGCTGTATTTTGGCAGAATCTCGACGGTAAAACCACTGGTCAGGTATTGGTCGAGCGTATGATTGCTGTTTTTGGCAAATATTCGCCCTCGGTCTGTTTGAATAAATAACAATTGAGCCTCTGGATTAAAGTATCCTATTGTGCCCAGGTGATATTTCAGGTCTTTCACCGTTGGCACTGGTATTGGCAGTGATAAATAAATGGGATTCGTATAACCATCATTGTTTGCGTTTCTTTTGATTACATAACAAAACATTATAATCGCAATGAGTATAAGTTATACTGTATAACAATGAGTATAATTTTGTGCCCTTTTTTAATAATAACAAATTTTTAAATATTAATTAAATTAATCACACATTAATTATAAATGACTTATTAAACAATGTATTGAAAAGTGTGTGACTTATTCTATCATAATACAGTATATCTCACTATTAATTATAAAATAACATAGGTTTGAATGTGTGGTCACTTTTAGTGCGAATGGTTGATAGAAATGCAGTGAAAAACTTGTGGTCATTTTTGAAAATATTTTATCTGCATATTTGTTATCACTGATCAGGAATTAAAGTGCATAGAAATTAACTTGAGATAAGAGAAGTGCAAGTGTACAGTATGTGTAGAGGTTAGGGTGATTTTAATAATTAAAATTATTAATTATTTAATCAATTATTGATATTGTATTCAGTGATATCACGATAAAATGATTATGGTGTTACTTAATAATTGAATCATTTAATTGTTTATATCATAATGTATTATTACTTGAGCTGATATAGCGGTAGACTTACGGAATATTCTTTGTCTTGACTGGAATCACATGCAAAACCTTATGCTTTAATAATAAGTTATATTAAATAATAGTTATTTAATAAGTTATAATTTTATATTAAATTTAATTATCCTAAATATTCAAGAATAAAAAAGTTTTATTTTAGCAATTTTGAGTTTTTTTTAATTAGAAATGCTGATAAAATAAATAATAAATTAATGCATTTTTAATTCAATATTTTTAATACAATGCAACTTCTCCATAGGGAACGGCCAGTTGCAAGGCAAAAGTGTTCCCTATGGGGAGAGTTCCTCTAAGGGAGGTTTGAGTAAAAATGTCTTATTTTTGACTAATATTTGAAAATTTTTATCAATGTCTTTCAATGTTTTTTAATTCATTATATTTAGTCTTTAAATCAATTAATTGTCTTTTTTGAAACATTTTATAACAATTAAATGAACAAATTAGTTTAGACTAAGTCTGTGCAGAAATTGAACATCATTAAACCCAGCATAAAACCCTTGTGTTGTAATTTATACACTATTCATATGTTACTCACATATAAAGTGGTATATGTAGTGTACTCTAATATAATGAATACTTGAAAACCTCCTTGGTGATTCAATAAACACGTCATATTTATAATATCCCCTATTTCAATCTGAACGCTTTTAGTTTAGACTATTATAATAATTCACTAATCAAGCTATGAATGTAGTGTTTATCACAACTCTTACAGTATTGAATGAAACTTTAAATGAAAAACTGTTTGTTTAACCCTTATTCGTATATTAATATTATGGGATCATATGATCCCACTGTGCACGCAACGTAATTATTTAACCAGAATAAGGGTTAAAGACTTAAGTTTGAGAATGATTTAAATACTTTACATATCATGTGCTTATGATTATCTTTGTTCCTTATGGGGAGTGCAAGTTTTATCTTAATCTCTATAAATCCGTTCCTAATGGGGAGGTATTCCTTACCGAGAAGTTCCCCTAAGAGAGGTTATGTTAACATTATAAATATAGGAAATCCAACGTAAATTTCATATCAGTTCCCTATGAGGAGGGGTTCCCCCAAGAGAGGTTGCACTGTACAAAAATTATATGATTTTATTAATAAGTTAATTAAAACTCCTTATTTTTTGTTGTTAAATATTTTCTACAGTTTAACTCCAAATTTTAACTCCATTAACTATTTATTAAAAATGGCAACATTTAATTAAATTTTAAACATCTGGTTATCTCTGGTCTACGTTCACTATTGATAATGTTATATTTATTTTAATCGCAACCCAAATATCATTTCTATAATATATGATTGTGTTTAACATCATGATTATGATTATATAATGGTCATTTTTATCACAGGTAAGAGTTGTATGTGTCTAAATTTAGTAAAACTCGCAAATATAACAATAATTAATTATTATTAATAATGTTTTGGTTTATATACTGTAGTCAATGACACGCCAGGAGCCGGTGTTTCTACTGTCGACACACACATGAAAAGTGTTGTGCCCTCACGTGTCCTCTACCCTGATTAAGGGCACTGCACGGGTGAGTGAGTGAGTGAGTGAAAGAGAGAGAGAGAGAGAGAGAGAGGGAGAGAGAGAGAATTTTAAAGGTTTTTTGGCTTATACTTTATAATAACCAGACTCGACAAATGCTAAACTTTTATTTCAGTCTAGGTGTAGTGGAGTTCTAACAGATGAGCTATTGTTCCTACAGTTATGTCATGAATTGTCATTTACCATAATATCCCAATTAATAGACACTTATTAATAAACACATTGAATGGTGTATATGAATGACCAATACTAGAATCTGACGCATCTCTAATTCCTACTGTATATTATGAGGGCATAGGAATTATTGATGCGTCAAATTTTTATGGTAATCATAATAGTGTTTTAATGAGATTTATTATATTTAAATGTTCTAGGTATAAATACTAGAATTTGGTGCACGCATTAACTATTACTGGTATAGAATTTATTTTGTAAATGACCAGTCATTGTTAATGCCGGCACAACATTTACTATGAGCATTAAATGCGAAGAATTCAATCAAGGTATTTATTAATAACTGCATTTACATTATCCTAATATTACATTTATTATAGGAGTGATTGATTGTAATTTTTAAGAACAATATGTTATCTAAATATTTTTATCGGACATTACATAATTCATTATTCCTAACACATATCATAATAATTTATCATAATTAAATGTGCGTTACATCTAGCATGCAGAAATTATATTCAAAATATTAATGAATTTTATTACTTTTAGTAAAAATGAATTCGTTAAATAAACATGGCATATATTTATAACAAATGTATAAAATATCTTAAAATGTAATAAATGTGAACATAATTATAAATATAGCCAACGATTGTGAATGTAATTCAAAACAATGAACGCATAAAAATATATTCTCGCCATTTGTTTGCCATAAATATTAGTTTGAGATCTCATTACAAACAACATATCGACGCTAACTGTGCCCCCACTTCCCAACGACTGCTGTTTATTACCTATTAATTGACAATTAATTATAAAACAATTGTTATTAATAATAGCCTATTATATATCAAGTTTATCAACCAAACAAATACCAATCAATTGCTGAATCCATGGCATATGTTTGGCTACCCTAACAAAAATCATAAGTTTAGGACCACATGTATGGCCAGTATAGCTCTCGCCGTATGAATAGACACCCATTAGCACAGCATTACATCCCTGGTATACCACGAGAGGACTGCCTGAATCCCCCTAATATATTATTACCATAATTTATTTAATTGTTTTACTATCACTTAAACGGATCCAGCGTTAGACTTACGGAACATCCCATACTTTGACTCCCATTAACGCATATAAAATACTCGCTCTTGTATTTACATAAATGATTAGGAATTGTGTAATAATCTGTTTTCATCAGGGTATTCGTCGGCTGTCTACCATCGGTACTTATCTGTCCCCAACCGCTAAACATGGTTAGCATCGGATGTCTGTCACTGAGTGCGGCGTTAATCGGTAGACAAACTCGATTAGCGTATGATATATCGTATTTTATACTAGTTTTCAATTCAATTAACGCCATGTCATTAATTAAATAGCCGTTTGTTATATACTTTGGGTGAATGTGCGCCTCCTTTACCCCCAATGGTCTGACACTGAGCTTATTATTTGAACCAATTCTCACTATTATATCGTTTTTATTCACATTTCTGTTGAATTTTTATTTTAATCAAAACTATAATTAAATTATTTTAATGATAAACTAAATAATTGTTTTATAACATACGGGTGTAGACAATGAGCGGCCGTTAATATCCATCGCTCATCGATGATAGTCGCCCCGCAATGTCCCCTATTATTGACATAAATCGATGCCATCCATGGTATCTGGTCTATGGAGGCGTCCATTCCTCCCACAATCCGATCACTTATCTGATTCCTGTGCCCATAGTTTACAATACGTTTGCATTTATTGATTTTATTTCCATTGATTTACTTAAACCGCACTTAATGTTAACGTTTTGTTGTTGTTTTAGAGTTATGCTTATTATGTAATTAATAGCGCATATAATGTAAAACCTATTGAAAAACATTGTAAAACTTTTATAACGGTTAATATTATTAGTGATTTTGTGATTAGAAATGTTATAATAATTAATAATTCTCAAGTAATTTTACTGCTAAAAAATGAGTAAATTTCGTAACGGATTATAATTTTAAAAATAAATCTTTGTTTTTAAGTCACCAACAATTGTTGGCATCATTTGTTTTTTATTTTACATTAGATTTATACTTTCAATTAGTGTTGCCAATAGTGATTGAAATGTTCGTATTAGTACCGCGATACGGTACTGGCACTTCCTAGTACCGGTGCCAGTACCTCGGTACTGGTACTGGTACTGGTGTTGCGATATAAACGGTAATAACGGTACTAGAGGTACAAACGGTACTAACGATACTAGAGGTACATACGGTACTATGTGATAAGTTATTAATTATTCATTTATTTAATATACAGTACTATCATCAATGTAATGCACTGTTGCTGTAATATAACCTAATAATTTAGATTACATTTAAATCAAATTTCTATTAAAATACACTATAAATCTATAAGAATACGCATGCTCATATAACCAGCGATACTATATGTACTAACGATACTAGAGGTACTAACGATACTAGAGGTACTAACGATACCAGAGGTACTAACAATACCAGAGGTACTAACGATACCAGAGGTACTAACGATACCAGAGGTACTAACGATACCAGAGGTACTAACG